TACTGTGTGTGTATATGTGTGTGTGTGTGGGTGTGTATACTGTGTGTATGCGTGTGTGTGTGTGTATATGTGTGTGTGTGTGTGTATGTGTGTGTGTGTGTGTGTGCGCGCACATTCAAACAGTAACAATAACAATAAATTGATTGGGCGGGTTTTTGTATGACGGAGCAGTTTTTAACAGACTTTTGGGTTGGAAAACATCCACTCTATCTGGCAACACTGGGGCATTCACTCTGTGTCACAAACGTCTGCCCCCAAGAGGGGTGGGGTACCGGGAGCCACAAGCACCCAGCTCTGTCAAAGAAAAATGTTAGTCAGTGGCAGGAAGTTACCGAGAGACGGCGGGAAGTCTTTGCGAAATTAAATATAAAAATATAACTTTTGAAAATTGTGATAAAAATACATACATAAGACGCTCCTGCATATAAACCGCAGGGTACAAAGTGTGAGAAAAAAGTAGCGGCTTGTACACTGGCAATTACAGTAATTGCTGTTTTTTTCATGTTTTGTGTTAAAAAGTTTTACATATATATATATATATATTGTTTTTTCGGGCTCTTGGTCATGTTATTGTTGTAAAAAGAGAAAAAAAGGCTTAATATAGGTCAAATAAAATCAAATGACTGATTTTTGTCCTCCCCCATCAGAGATTTACCGCATCGTCTCCCAGAAGCAAATGTCGGAGCGCCAGGAGAGCGACATGTCACCCAGCAACAACGTGGTCAACATCCAGGTGCAGCCCACCGAGAACAAACCAAAGATGCAGTGCTGTCAGAACATTTAGCCCAGCTGTGGATCTGCTGCTATCCCCTCACCGCCCTCCTCTCTTCCACCCCACTCTGACCTTCCCACCACCCTCAGAGAACAGACTGCCGAGGTGTGGAAAGATCGAGCCACAGATTCAAGTCTGCAACTTGAACTCTACCTGCCTCCCCCTCTTCCCCACTCCCCAGTAAATAAACCCCAGTATAAGACAAATTGTGCCCCCTCCTCCAGTCTTTAGGCTACTGCAGGACAGCAGGCATTTCATACCACGTTAGATTTTTTCTGGTGTCAATGCGCTGACCTGTCACAGAACAGTCTTATATCTGAATGTGATTATTCTTCTTTTCTCCACCTTTTTTAATGAAGCGTCTCGTCGTCTTCTAGATATTTATCAGTGTAAAGCACATCGACCTGCAGCTATGCTCTGTCATGTCAGCCCCTCCTCTTTAGTGCAACGTAATGTTTGGAAACCGTTTACTGAACACGCACGCTGCTGCGGCGCCATGCTGTTTCAGCCACCATCTCCGAGCGTGACGTCAGAATCAGTGGGTGTGGTCTGCAGGTGGCGCTCTACCTCGTGAGCTTCGTTGTCACTGAAGTTGAATTAGGTGTTTACGGAGGACTGAAACAGCCAAAATAAGTCTCTTTAATTACTTTTTCATGTCTTTGAATTTTGTTTCAAATTAAAGTTCATTCTGTTACTCTATGCTTATTTTATTAGTTAATTCCCAAAAGTTTATTTATATTTTCATTTTGGATTTGTTTTTAAGTCATTGTTTTACAACTGGGGTGGCACAGTGGCTCAGTTGGTAGAGCTGCCCCCTCTCAATGAGAAGGTTGCCAGTTCAAATCCCGGCCCAGGGGTCATTCTGGGTGGAGTTTGCATGTTCTCTCCGTGCATGCGTGGGTTTTCTCTGGGTACTCCAGTTTCCTCCCACAGATCAAAAACATGATGTTAGACTGATTGTAACTCTGAATTGTCCCTAGGTGAGAGAGAGAGAGTGAATGGTTGTTTGTCTCGTTTGTCTCTGTGTCCCTGTGATGGACTGGAGACATGTCCAGGGTGTAACCCGCTTGATGGCTGGACATGGGCACCAGTGTCCTCCGTGACCCGAAAAGGAAGGAGTGGGTAAAAGGCGATGGATGGATGTTTTACAATTGATAAAATTTTACATAATTTTACTTTTAGCTTTTTCTCTCATTTTTAATTTTCCCAAGTTCATTTTTTTTACGTGTTTTGTTTTAAATTTCTGTATCTGATCGTGCACGCTGCAGATAAGAGACGTGTGTTTCAGAGAATGCACGACAGCAGAGATTGTTAGCAGTTAATGCTAACAGTGTTGGCTCAACAACAACTTGGCTGGAGTTTGATCAATTTGTGAACGCAGCTCCTTAAATAAACGAGATGTTTGATTCAACACGACGTGGTAAATCTGCCATCATTTTTTACCAAGTCAATCTCTGCAGCCTGACAGTCATCATGGTGACAGTCATGATGATGACTGTCACCATGATGACTGTCATCATGATGACTGTCACCATGATGACTGTCA